AAGTGCCCTTGTATCCACCCTCAGTTAGGCATCTGGCTGAAGCGACTCTGACTTCCCCAGTTCCCTTCTGCATGGCCACTGCGCTGGGGTGGCTTCGCTCTGAGCAATCCGATCAGGTCTCCTTTCTATAGTCCATGAATACCTCACAGTGGCCCCTGCTTATGTCATATTTTGGCTTTACTGTTTAATATTTCTTTTCTGAAATAAAAAGGCGGGGGGTGGGGGTAGCAAGAGAGATGGCCACGTAGATTCGGTCTATCCTGACCCAATTTCCAGAGGAATCAGGCTAAGATGCTAATGTGGGCTCAACAGCACCTCTACCTCTGTGACTTTCCTATTCAAAATGCGTCCTTCCTAACAGCACGGGGCCGAGATCTTTCATCTGGTAAGCTGGATCCTTGCAACCTGGCTTTTTTTTTTTTTAAATCATTTTATTAGGGGCTCATACAACTCTTATCACAATCCATACATATATCAATTGCATAAAGTGCATTTGTACATTCATTGCCCTCATCATTCTCAAAACATTGCCTCTCCACTTAAGCTCCTGGCATCAGGTCCTCATTTTTCCCCTCCCTCCCCGCTACCCCATCCCTCATGAGCCCTTGATAATTTATAAATTATCATTTTGTCCTATTTTGCCCTGTCCGACGTCTCCCTTCACCCACTCTTCTGTTGTCCGTCCCCCAGCAACCTGGCTTTTATTCATGTGTTCCTCGGGCAGGAATGCACTGCCAGTTATCATTACCCTGGGTTTACCAGACACTATATTATAAATCTCCACCTACAGGTCTGCTACTCACTAAAGTGCTGAGAGCAAGGGCAAAGACCCTCTCAGTCCTTGACTCCCGAGACCCAAAGAGCCTGTCACATAGATGTTCATTGCATAATGAGAATTCAGGCCCAGAAACGCTGTAGACTCTTAGAGCCAGATTTCAGACCAAACTAGCCCTAGAATGTGAAAGCTGGAAGGAACCAAGGCTGTTTGTCAACTTGAACCTGTGTGGAAATGTAGTGGTGGAGACCAACCTATCAGTCTGCTGCTGCTGCCTCCTTGGAGGCGTGGCTCTTTAACTAGAGGCAGTGAAAGCTTTTTGTTTGCCTCTCGGGTCCTTGACCTTCCTCCTGGCTGGGATTTTGTGTCTGCCATCAGGAGTGGCCCCGTGTGGGTTGCCAACCTGGAAGCTGTCGGCACCCTGGCATGTTCCCACCGGCTTTGGAGCCACACAACTCTGCACCCGCTGGCCTGTGATCTCCCTGCTTCCACTTCACCTTTCAGGGTCATTGGTCCGAAGCTACCTAAGTCTCAGTCCAAGAGGCCCCGGGCTGGCATCAGACTCATGGGCTTGAGCTGAACTGGGCTGGGATGTCTTCTTGACATGAAATTACTTTTATTAAAAATGGCTTCTTGATATAAAGTTCTTGGACATATAGGAGTGTCACTGATTTTGTTTCTGTAAACAATCCAGCCTAACACATTAAATGAGCATCTTTATGGTCCAGGAACTTGGTACACATTTCCTCGTACTACAAGGTAAAACAGAATGAGCCCATCAAATACGGTCCATTGTACGTTGATCACACCTCTCTTCTAGACCTTATCTTCCTCGTCTGGGCTAATGTTGTACATATTGACTTTTGTGCCACTAACATCTTGGCACGAAGAAGCTGCTAGGTAAATATTGGTAAATACTGGCATGGCCTAACACATGAATGCTCAGGAGAATTGAATTCTGTACTGGTTTCTGCTACTGACTCACTCACGTATGAGACAGGCCATTGCATCTCTGAGTCACACTCTCTTCATCCGTACTGTGGGAATGTCAATCCTACCCAATGCATTTCACAAATCATGCAGAATGATCCATTCTAGAAACCATTATAGAAAACAAGGGCATACGACTACAGTATGAGTCAAAGCACCCCCTACCCCTTCCATGTAAAGCCAGTACAGAAATATTCAACAACGAGCAACCGAAACAAGTGACCTGGCCTGTTGGAGGAAGAGCCCTGGACAGGCTGAGTGGTCTGAACTGGTGAAACGAAACCTGTGCAGGGTTTTTCCCCGGCAGGTGTTCCTGCCCTCTGCCATATGGCCTGAGCCCTGGGGCTCCTCCCTCCTCCCCTCCCTCCCAACCAACAACATTATATGGCTTTACGGAGGGCTCCTTTGACATCTCTGCTCCCAGCCACAGTGAAAAGAACCCCGGACTGAAAGGCAGGAGACTTTCATCCTAATCCGGTTTTTACGATAACAGCTAGCTACAGGGATAGCCATTTTGTCTACCTGTGAAACGAGAGGAAAACACTTCAGCACAAACTAGAGAAGAGAATGCAAGATGCTAGCATTGCTAAAGGGTCTGACACATAGTAGGTGCTCCATACAGGATAGCTATCGAAGGTGTACAGAGAGGCATCTGAGCCACAAAGCACAACTCGACTTTGTTCTGGCCCTTCCCCCACCAATTCCTGACTGCTCAGTAGTGGGGAAAGTCCCAGTGACCTCGGGGTGAACATTCTTACAGATCTCCTGGTCACATCTCTGCCCACTGGTGAAAGGAAAGTGGTGCAGACTGGGAATCAGAGGGCTCTTGTGATTAACCTTCTCTATTTCAGTTTGATCACTTACCAGCTAAAGATAAGAACCTACTTCGCTGAGCTCCTATGAGGACTTAAAGACAGAGAGAGTAAGAAAGGACCCAGCCTGCTCACAGGCCCTGGACATGTGAACTTTTACAAATAATCAACAAGAGTATATATGCAACTCAGAGCCAACCTGTGCCCAATCTGGAAACACGGCTGACAGTATTTTGATGGTGACTCAGTATCGTGTGAGAATTTACTACTCCCAGCTTAAGATCTCCAAGAGCTTCGATGACCTCCGAGAGAAGATGAGAACTCCTACATGATCTGCCCGCATTCTGTTCCTCCTCAACCTTCCTCCCTTCTTGCTCCGCATTCCACTCGCGTCACCACACTCACACCACTAGCCGTCCCTTCCCAGGCATACCTCGCATGCCTCCTTGCCTTGGCCCACGCGCTTCTGTCTGGAGGACCTTCCTCCCTCCTGAATTCTTGCCTTAGATAACTAACTCATTCAGCTCAGGCTTCACCATCAGCTTTCTCGGACACATCCCATCTTTCATCCAGTAAACGTCTACTGAGTACCAGATGCCAAGGATATGGCACTTAACCAGCCAAGCATCGTTCCTGGCCTGGTGATGTTTTTATTTGTTTTAATAAATCATTTTATTGGGGGCACTTACAGCTCTTATCACAATCCATACATCCACTGGATCAATCAAGCACATTGGGACATAGCTTGCCATCATCATTTTCAGACCATTTTCTTTCTACTTAAGCCCTTGGTATCAGCTCCTCTTTTCCCCCCGTCCCTCGCCACTTGTGACATGTTTAGCACGGTGCATAGTTCATGGTCTGTGCTTTCCTGTTCCCCATCAGAGTGGGAAGTTCTTAGGAATTGGGACAATGTCTGATTCATCTCTCCGGCACTTCTCCAAAGAGAACCTAACACAGAGCAGGAGACATTAGGTGTACATAACAGGTGTGTTCTGGTTTATGTATCATAGTTTACTCGTAAGCCCCTTTCAAAACACATTCACCTCTCATTTCACCCTCTCTGTCCTGGAAAAAAAAGGATTTGTAAGTTGAAGACACAGAGTGATTTTTAAAGTCATCTAGTTTTACTTCTTGGACAGTTTTTAAAAGATTCCTATGACAGCCCTTCAAGTGACAGGGCAGGCACCCCGGTTTCATGGGCCAAACTGAATGGCCTGCTATACACAAAATCGACTCCAATCCACAATTAGTCCCAATGCTGGGTTTGTAGACCCTACCAAGCAAAGAGAAGAAATTGTCTTCTAAATTCAGCCACTCACAGACATGGCCAAATAAAGTCGAGTGTACCCTCCACGTCTGATTGATAACAAAAGCTGAAGCAAACAGAGAAGCAAAATGACTTTCTCGAGGTCCAAAGTGAGTGATAAAATAGGTGAGTCCAGAAGCCAGGTTTTCTGGTTTCAGGGTTCGGATTTCTAGAGCACCAAAGCTGAGAGGAAGCCCCTCTATTTGTTACGTCCCATTCTTTTCTTGTACAGACAGGGACGCTGAGGCCCGCGGTGGGGGAGCAAGAAGAGGCTCTGCCTCCACCCCACTGTCTTCACCTTCACCACCACACCTGCTCGTGACAGATAGGGAAATGGAGACTTACCAGCGTGTTGGAAGAATTATAGTCCTCGGCTAATTTATCTGCAAAGGAAGACGGACAACACACTCAGTCAGTGAACAAATACAGTTCATCTCTTCTGGAGAGCTGTTCAGTCAAGTGCTCTCCCGGATGAGGAAATAATAATCGGCTCAGTACTGCTCTGGGTCAGACAATGTGGTAAGCACACGCACCCCTCAGGACGTCACTGTACCCTCACTGTGACTCTGAGTACTGCGCTGACGTCCTTTTTTAGGTGGAAAAACTGGGGTCCTGAGAAGTTACGAGATTTGCCAAGGGGGCACCCAGGTTCCATGGTGTAGTTATGATCTGAATCCTGTTCTGCCCCCGAATACTGTTAGAAGTAAGTCCAGCTCACCCGCTGTATCATCCATCACCAAGCCTCCATGGCCCAGGAAACGCTAAGCTTTCTAACAGAAAGGGAAGAAGTCATCGCTGGCAGCTCCTGAGCTATCCAAGCCAAACAAGTCACCACTCTGCAGAAGTGCGTCTCCTAGACCCATGCCTGTTCCCAGCAGGGAGACAGAGACTAAGGTTTAGGGAAACAGAGGTATTAATCATGTCAAGTCTAATTAATGACAGGGCCGTGTTTTCTAAGAATAGATTCGAGGTACCTTAATGAGGCAATGGACATATTTTGTGGATGTAAGATGGACCCTCCCCCCACACGCACATCTAGTGTCTCTTACATAGAGATAGGGCTACAATCAAAAGGCATTTCACAATTTAATGAGCAGCTTTCCCCCCTTAGTGGTACATTAAAAAAAATGGTGCATCATACGATATCTTAGACTTGATGAGACATGACATTTAGATTCAATGGAGAACTTAGCAAGAAAAGGCACTGAATGACCAGGTGTCATGTCTAGCTCTGTTCTTCAGAAGACACTGGCGTCCCGAGTTCACCATCAACAG